CATTTGACAAGGTGCCTCCTAAAAGGCTTGTAAAAAAAATTATCTCTATAGGTGTGGGGAATAAGTTAGCTAATTGGATAGAAGAGTGGCTGGATGGAAGAAAGCAAAGGGTTGTTACAAATGGAGTTCAGTCAAACTGTATTAATGTCTTAGGACCTTTGCTCTTTTTGATTTACATAGATGAAGGAATTATTTAAATTTGTTGATGATATTTTAAGTTCTTGGGTGTTGCTAGCTGTGAAGAGGATGCTGCTGATTTACAAAAGGATTTAGATCATTTAGTGAGTTGAGCAAATAAATGGCAGATGTGTTTTAATTATAATAAATGCAAGATAATGCATGTGGGTTATCACAATTTATATTATAAGTATAATTTGGGTGGGAATAACTTTAACAGTGTCATGAAAGAAAGGAATCTTGGTGTAATGATTGATCAGTCTCTTAAGCCATCCAAGCAATGTGCTATTGCTAGTGGTAGGGCAAATAGTGTTTTAGGTTGTATCTACAGAAATATTGAATACAAGTCTAAATAGGTTATAATTTCATTGTCTAGGTCAATGGTTAGGCCACATTTGGAATATTATGTTCAGTGTTGGGCTCCTTATATTAGGAAGAACATTGAATTGTTTGAAGGAGGGTGCCTGGGATGGAGGGTTTGTCATATGAGGAGAGAATATGATCTTTGAAATTGTTTTCTTTTGAAAAATGAATAGTTAGAGGGGATCTGATTGAGGTGTTTAAGATTGTAAAGGGAATTGATGGTGTTGATGCATCATCTTTTTTCATACTAAACAGTGAGAATAATAGGACTACGGGACACAAATATAAATTTTAGCAAGGTAAGAATTATCTTCAGCTAAGACAGTTTTATTTTTCTAACAGGGTGGTTGGCCTCTGGAATGGGTTGCCTTTGGATGTTGTGGAGGCAGTAAATATAAGTGAGTTTAAGAGAAAGCTTGATAACTGTATGAATGATAAGGGTTGGCATTAAGATATTTAATTTTTTAAATTTATAATAGTTTAGTTTGGAGGATGGGACAGCTAAGATAGACTAATAAGTCCTTTGTCCCTAAACATTGTGTTGTTATGTTTAATGATATGGTTCAAAAATGCAGCTAATTATTTATTTGAAATGCTAAAACTTCATGCCTTATGTTCTCTTATAATCTCAGAATAGGAGAACTTTGCATCTGAAAATCCTGCATTGTAAAGAAGTCAGCTTTAGACACTGTCTGCATTTATAAACTGCCACACTTCAACTGAGTTCAATATGAGAATCAAAACTTTCAACCTGTGTAATCATAGTTCGAAGGGCAAGGTGTTTAGATATGTAGATTGTGATCATACATTGTGAACAGCTTCTTGTAATAATGAAAGAAATATCATTAAAATTGCAAATATGTAATTCCATAATCAAGCTTTTTTTAATGTGATAGGTCAGTTCAGAATCACAGTTCTAAGTGCAGATTTTTTTAACAGATATAACTGAAATTGCACTTTTAACTCTAATGTTTGATGATTTCAATAATAGTTTATGTAAGAGCATGTTGTTCTACTGTCATAAAATATTTTATTCAATGCTTCATTATCATGACATGGTGAAAGCTGAGCGGAAAGTGTTTGGTTGCATAGTAGCACCTAAGATTGTAATTTCAGTTTGTTTTTATGAGTCTCCACACATTAGCATCATTCATTTGTTATATAAACAAGTTTGGACATTTATTTACACATACAGTGTTTCATAGCTTTCCACATCTTGCTGTGGATAAATGACTTCCTTCCTGAGATGGAAATAGTTGAAAGAGTATTATTCAATAGTCCATGACATTAATAAAATTTGTTTTCAAAGTGTGTAACATTGAGTATGATATATATATATATCA